TACTGATTGTCTTAACTAGTTCAAATATATAATCTTATACTTTAACCTCTCAAAAGACTAGAAATTCATCTATACAACAGATGTATATTAGTAATTATAATAATGATAAAATTAAATAATTTTGTTTAGGAGAACTCATTCAGACCTGCTAGTGGGACTGAGCGAAGGCTGGCCCACTCATAATGTCAGTTAATGCACAGAATAAAATGAAATCCCACATGTAACCCCAAAGTTTATCTGTTATATTTCATTATTGACTGCCGACACTGACACTGTAGGCAGTCAATACAGACTCAATGTATTTGACATGTTGTATCTGAACTGGTTCTGCACGAAAAATGTTTTGCGCACCTTTTAACGAGAAAAAAACACGACTCTCCATCATTATTATTTCAACCTGAGTTATAAACTGGTTAAAGAATGCATGCACTGGCTACCATTGAAATATTTATTTATAAAGTGAGTTCCTCTATGTCGTCATCGAAGGAGGGGATGGCACGGATGGCAGGTTTACTGTCGGCAACGTTTAGAGCCTTGTCGATGACGCCGGAAGACGGTGGAGGTGTGGAGGAACCCGAGCTGAAGCGATGTAAACCGTCCCGTCTTGAACGTACCCCGTTGGTTGTTGGAGGGCTATTAAGTGCCATCATTTTACTGGAAGCACTGAAACTGTCACCAGCAGGAATGGTCTGGGCACCAAACAGCTGCTCCATGAGGCTTGATTTCTTGTCTTTCTCTGCTTTTGTTTCTGTTTCCTTCTCTGTTACCGTCATTCCAACATTAAAAAGTCCTATGGCTTCTAATGCAGAGTTTTTGTCGTCGCTAGGGGGAGCTGGAGGGAAGCCAGGGGAAACCCGGGACGCTGAATGTCCGAACGAAGGTGCGTACCTTCCAAATGCCAAGTCATCACTGGAGGTATGGGGCCGCAATGCTCTCCTCCCCGCTGTAAAACCGCCATGCTCCGCACTTTGCCTCCTCCTTCCGTCTTCTCGATCTCCAGCCAGCATCGATCCTGTCTCCTCTGACTCAGTGTGGTTGAAAACCGAAAAGTTACGGTTTCTCTCTTCAGGTGGATGCGGAGAAGCGATGTTGTTATTAATTTTTCTGGATTCAGAAAGAGGTGACTCATCGAACACAGAGTCCTGGGCTGCCTGGTTTTGACGATCTATTTCTCGCATCTTAGCCAACAGCTGCTCTTTCTTTCGACGTGCTTCCTCTGTCGCCTGCTGGCTGGACGTAGATTCCTTGTTCCATCGCGCCACCTCGTCCTGGACGTGGCCACGCTTCCAGTAGTTGTCGTCTTCTTTCTGGCTGAACAGGGAATTTGACTTCTTGCTATCCTCACCCTCCTGTTCTTTCTTTATGTCTGCAGATATAACGTGTCAGGTTAAGATTAAAGCCATTGACTGGGTATTTCACATAGATTATCCACGCACGTTGCTTTTATGCAAAGATAAAGGCGACGTGCGTGGACTGTCCCTGTTCTCGTTTAGTTTCCCTTTACCATTTTTCAATCTGCTCAGCTTCTCTTTGAAGACATTCAGCTCCTGGTCGAGTCCCTCTCTCTGCTGCGTCTCCTGTTCTCTCACCAGTTCCTCCTCGTGCCTCCCTCTCGTCTTGTGTTCATCGCTTTTTTGAGAAACCTTCTCCGACTCTGCTGGTTTGTCCACCCTGTCAAAACCCTGGACGTCATAATGTCAGAGACAGAATGGAAGACGTGAATTTAACCAAATAACTGCACTCAAACAGTAACCCTGACAGAAAAGTAAGGGATGAACAAGGCACCTACCTTCAAAGACAGGTATTCGCCAGCCGACTGTCCGCCGTACTCGTTGGTGTCATTGATGGCTGGGGGTGGAGAGGGGAAATCCTGACTCGACGTTCTGTCTTCAGTTTGTACAGCCTTGGTGCTGTAAAGCACTGTGACTAAACAAGATAAAAACAGATATCATGTAATGACGGTGTTATTTAAAGGGAAATCCCTCATAAAGCACCTCTGTCTGTCTTTTGCGCAACAGTGACTTACGTTTCCGCTTTGCACTACTTTCGCCATCTTTCCGTAATGCTGGTTTTGCCAAACGGTTGGAGTAAATATTTTTAGCATCTAGCTCTCTTTCCTTTTCCTGATCAAAGAAAAAAATAAAAAATCTCACAGTGTACAAGATGCAACAAAGCTTTGCACAAAGTTTTCAGGGCTGCTTAAGAACCTGAATAAAGCATACTGGTATGCTGTACCTTGAGCTTATTGGTCAGTCGGTCCAGCTCCTCCTGCAGACTCTTCACCTCCTCCTGAGAATGAATAGTCTTCTTCTTCTCTGCAGCAAGCTGCCTCTGAAAACTGTTGTTGCTCAGCTCAATGCTACGCTCCAAGTCCTTGAAATGCACACACACACACACACAAAAAAAAACTGTACACACCAACCTCGCCAAAGGAAAACAAAGGAACCAACGTGGCATCACAATGAAACTTTGAACAGAAAATAACTACAGTGGCATGAATGTATTAATAAATCACGTGCAATTTGCAGCGCACTTTAAATATGGTACTACTTCGACAGCAATAGAAATCTAACAAAAAAAAAAAAATAACCATGGATGAATTTACCTTGACTTTACGTTGTGCCTCTTGGGCCCGAGTTTTCTCTTCTTCAAAGCTACGGCTTAGCTCGTCTCTGGTCCCCAATTCTTGCTGGTCCACCAGCTTCTTTAGTCGCGCGACAGCGGCTTGGCTCCGATGCAACTGCTCCTCGCTCTCCTTCAACCGCCGCTCGGCTGTCCGTTCCCGCTCTTGCGTGCGCCGCAGTCGCTCTCGCAGCACGTGGATCTCGTTGGAGTGGCGCGCCAGGAGCTGGGAAATCTCACTTTCCGTGTCGTCGTAGCGCTGCAGGGCTTTTTCCTGACGCACCTGAAGCTGACGTTAGAAAAGGACGATTTAAAAATGATTTCTTATTTCACAGCAAAACGGTTTAGTTAAGAAAAACACCTGCCAACTTTAACAGAAAGCAAGCCTACCTGTCTGAGAGTTCTATTTTCCTTCTTCAGTTCATCATTCTGCTGCTTTAGTTCAGCAAGGGAGTTGCGCAATTCATTGATCTTCAGTAGGCGGGCTGAAAGCATCCGCTTGGTCACCAGATCCAGGTCTTTAGGCAGCGTGGACTCTTTGCTTTGAGACCGATTTCCCTTGCGGTTGTGCTGTGTGATGGGAAGGCCTCCAGGTCGCTGTGGCCGCGATGCATTCCAGCGCCCAACGCCACCTGCCGAAAAAAAACAAACAGATGGTTGTCAACGTAAAGGCATGCTGATTGGTTGAAGATTACCGCTGTTCATCAGTGCAACGTCTTTGAACTTAGATTTTAAAAAAAAGTCCAAATGGAGCTTGAATAACAGCATTATGGTGAATAAAATAATTCATTTACAATTAAAACAACTTATCTAGATGAAGACTGAGATGTTAAAATTGGGGTTATACTGCCATCATCTGGACAAAAACGCATAAATTGGTATGTGCTATTTACTTAACCTGTTGGTCTCACAATGACAGGGGTGTCAAACTCCAGTCCTCAAGGGCCGCTGTCCTGCAGTGTTTAGATGTGCCACAGGTAAAAAACAGTGGAATGAAATGGCTTAATTACCTCCTCCCTTTGTAGATCGGTTCTCCTGAGCCTTGCTAATGACCTAATTATTCTTTTCAGGTGTGGTGCAGCAGAGGCACATCTAGAAGTTGCAGGACAGAGGCCCTTGAGGACTGGAGTTTGACACCTCTGTCACGAGAGGACCCAAATTTGGGTCCTCTCGTGACAGACAGGGTAAGAGTCTCGCAAAAGTCTTCATACTCTACATTTTTTTTTTGTCACGTTATAATCACAGACTTCAACAAATCCTGTTTGGATTCTATGTGATAGGCCAACACAAAGTGGTGCATTATTGTAAAATGGACCAAAAAAAAAAAAAAATCTTTTTTAAAATCAAAACTCTGAAACATTTGGTGTGTGTTTTTATTCAGCCTCCTCTATTCTGAAAACCTCTACATAAAATTGAGTGCAACCAATCTGCACTTAAATGTCCCTTAAATTAGTAAATAGAGTTCACCCACGTGTAATGTAATTTCATTAAAAGATGATGGTGTTCGAGTAGTTTTACAAAGTACTGTATCTAACAACTAACACAGATACAAAACTGAAAAAGCAACAATGTACGTACGTAGCTTGTGGGGTGGACTTCTAGAAATCTGCTTTGCCTGCAGCCCTCTCTGTGGCACCGGAGATGGAGTGAGTGTCTGGGAGAAAGGTGAAAGTGAGCGTTCCGACTGTGTAGCGTTCTCGTAGTCCTCAGAATATAGTGACCCGTCACTTCTCCGTCCCTCTCCATCTGAAATCCGGTCTCGATCTGGATCGGATCGGCAGGTTGTTGCTTTCGATCTGCTGTCGACACTCGTGTCTTCTCTGTGACTTTTTCCCATTCTGTGCCTCCGCCCCGATGATGCTCGAGACTCTTTCTTTGTGCTTCGACGGGACTGGCGACTTAGAATCCGGTTGTCCTCAATCGCTTCAGGGGCTTTTTCTGATTCTTCCATGCTGTCTGTCTGATAATGTGTGCTGAATCTTAAGTGAGAAAAAATACAACAAAGTTTTGTTAGGAATACTTTAACTATAGCAATAACAAAGGATGCAGAGTCTTTGTTAAAAATAACAGTGGAAAACTGACCTTAACACTTGTATTGCAATACTACATTACGCACTCTTACATTTAGCTGAGGTTCATAATAAGCACAGCCAAGCCAACTGGTTTCACTAGTGTTTTCAGTATTATGTGTCTTGGTCACTAAGCAACAATACACATGAGATTAAAGTTTCCATGAGACTGTATTAAGCTTAAGGATAAACATCACTGTGTTTGGAGCGAATAATACTATACTACCCCCATCTCCATCAGCGAGATAATTAAGAGGTAAATATTAATTTCTGGGATTACTTAAATGCAGTAATTTAGACAAAACAAGGTCAGACATAATAAAAGATATATTTTAGCCCAGTAAGCCACATTACTTTACTCATATCTTACATAGTTATGCAAGTCAGACCATTTTCTATTTTCCCTCTATTTTTTTATAATGGTGAGACCAGCATCAACTATTATTTTATTCAAGACTAATGAATAAAATATAATATAAGAGAATAATACTTTAGTTATCCATCAGAGGGAAAATACTGTGTAACAACAGCAAAGTGACCATAAAGTAAAAAAGTACAGATACAAAAATAAAATAAAAATAATATGAATATTGGGTAAAAGGCTCTAAAGCAGAAACAAAAACAGAGGGGAAAAACTTATGCAGTAATGAATAAATAAATAGGAAAATAAATCTTAAAATATATAACTCTAGTGGAATAAAGTGTACCTGTACAAATTGTGTATTTTAAAATTCTGCTAACAAGGCCATAAAAAAGGAACAACACCAAAACAACTTGCTGAATGTAAACATTGTTTTCATTGAGGTTCATTTAGGTTAATGAACCACAGGCCATTTTATCCAGCACAACTCCAAAGCGCTACTAGATGCAATATTTGTCATACTTTTAAATTTCAAGTATGTGCTTTTACACTTCAAGTGTCAATATCTTTTGCAAGTAAAATTGCCTTTATTAAAGTTCATAATTCATAGAGATTTCAATGACAGAGACGCTGAATTCCAAGGGGATGATGGGAAAGAAAGAGAAGTGAGAAAATGTGGGCTATTTACACCTGAAGTTGTTACATTTTAACAGTAAAATATTCTGTTGAATTTTTTTCTGAATATTGTGAGGTACTTAGAAAAATTAATCGAAATTGATATTGTGAAGATAATTGACTTTCAGCATTTATAATTGCTTGACATGTACCACTTAATACTGTGTGCCTAGGCAAACTAATCAGAGTTAATTAAATGTAAAGGTCATGCACTCCTCTAGTTCTTTAGAAGCACATAGACATATCTATGGCAACGTACAAACATAAATAGAAGAGATCATTTGTTTACAACATGAACCACAGGCCATTTTATCCAGCAGATTTTCTGATGATAAAACATGTTCATACTATATGCAATATAATAGATGTGAAATCATTCTAGAGTCAAAATTCTTAAATAACAATGAAATTTTACACTCACCCCATGTGTCACATCCAGGTTATTTCTGCTGTTTTTAGCCTCTTTTTTCCTTTGTTTTTTTTAACAACCATTATACTGACCTGTCTTCTTATTCCCTTTTTGTATTTAAAAATTGGTCCAACTGAGCTCTGTCAAAACAAAATTAAAAGGCATCATCTTACACACGACAGCAATTAAGTACAGTTCTTTGTGACACCAAATTATCGGATTATTGCCGTTTGAGTGATTGGCAGGTGGACTGTTGACAGAATCCATGCCAAGTAACAGTAACTAAACAAATTTCCTCTATAAATGAAAAAGCCCTCTTACAGGAAAGGTACAATAAATCAAATAAAACACATTTATATAAAGACACAAAGTAAAAATAACGCATTATTGGCAACAGAAGATTAGTAAACCACTTTAGAGAGCTTATAGTCCTTGTTGGAGCAGAGCTGCTCCTTGTAGTGGCGCTAAAACAAATACACCTATATTCAACAAGTAGGTGAAAACTGAAGGCTGCGTTTACTGCTGGGATGCTAGTAGTACCCACCTACCTTGTTTGCTCGTTTTATTCAGCTATTTCACTACTGTTTCGCTCCGATTAAACTTCATAGCGGGGACCAGATTCATCGTAGATTCAAACCGCTAATGTTAGCTAGGAGTAGCAAGCTAGTTCGAGCGTTAGCCGACTTATCCGTAATTAAAACTGAAAATGTTCTCTCCGCTCTCTGAGAAACTACACTGTATTGACTGGTCGTTTAAATATATTTCCCTTTAATCATCCCCGTAAACACAGCGATAGCACAGACCACAAACCGTAACCTTTATCTTTCAAGCCCCATGATTCAGTGCAACCGCTGACGCTGTGCCATGGCAACCGCGGCAATTGTTGCAACACCTTTAGTCACCAGAGAGGCGCTGTTGTTCTTCCACCCATAGTGGCTCTCAAGTTTTAGTTGATGTAAATATCAAACCACGGAATAACGCTTTAAAACCATCTTCTTCTTTTTTTTCCATTTTAAATGTTGTTAGTGGAGTAGATTTTAGACTGTGGGTGGAAGCGCTGGACTACACGGAGAGAACTCGTACGTGCACAGGGAGAATGTAGACTTCATGCAGGTCCCCAGGCTAGGGACCTGAATAAAGAGATTTATGCAGGCTAGGATTTATGCCCTACACAAGAGTCTAGTTTCTGGTTTCTCATCAGAAACCAGTATGAAAAACAAACCTGACCAAAGGAAATGTGACTTTTTTTGTTTGAAATTAATACACAAAACATCTGGTAAAGAAAAACTAAGAATTGGCCTATTTTTAATATTTTTCATACTGTGACCGTAGGAAGCGCTGTCTCTTCTGTAGCTTTAAATATTTGTTTTTCACCATAAAGCATATATTGATTTACATGAGCAAATAGAGTGACCAGACATTCGATATTTTTAATAAATTCAGTATTTAAAGAACAAATTATCAGATTGTGTTGCACTTTGAGTATAATGTGGGAAACAGTAGCTACACTTGAGTTATTTGCTATCAGATGTTGAAGTGTAAGGGGTCTATGAGGAAAAATTGGTCGGTTTTGTACCTCTCTTCATTGTGCTTTTGATTTTAGTTTTGTATTATTTTTTTTTAAATAAAAACAAAATTAAATCAAATGTAATTTTTGATCATCAAGTTTTGGTCAACTGTGTGTTGCTTGTACTCCTGTTAAATATTTTGTGTGTGTGTGTGTTTAAAAAAAATAGATCAATTAACCCCTTTTGGTTGGTTGTTTTTGTTACGTTTTCTGTTACAATGGATGTAAACAGATTAAGCAGTGCATTACATTTCAAACAGGGCAGAAACCCTCCTAAAGAACACAACTTTCCCCTCTGCCTTACCTGAAAAACTAGGTTAAGTTGCTTAACATACTCAAAAACAAACCGGAATCATTGGCTTGCTTTCAGAATAAATTTAAGCTTCTCAAAAATGTGATATTTTTGAGGAACTGCATTGTATCAGTTCACATAAGCATTCCAGTAACTATATGAAGGGTGCCGAATTACAAAAATAAAACATATCATCTTATAAAATTCACGTGTCCCTTTAAGTCCGGAATTTTGTTTTGAAAGATAGGACGGAAGTGTAAAGTTCAGCTTGATCTATGTTGCATGTATTCAAAGAGCGTCACTGGCTGCTTTATTATCATGGCTCAGTTTAAATATCGGTGCAGCGTGTTTTTTCTCTGCTGAAGCACACTGCGTCTCGTCTGTTTTCAAGTTTTTCTCATTTTATGAGGGGAATAAAATTTGATACACTACAGGAAAAACGTTGTTCGGTAACAACAAACCATTAGTCGACTGCTGGCGATAATTTGGGATTATGGTCATCAAGGTTTACGTCGCTTCCTCAAGTGGCTCCATCGCGGTGAGTGTTTGCAAATGTGTGATGAAACTTGGTGACAGGTGATTCAAGAAACAGGGTTTTGCAAATCTTAAAACGTTTCGTTGCTGCCTATATATGATGAATTATGTAACTGATAATGAGCGCCTGTTGGTGGCCAAGTAGTGAAAGTAGACAGCGTTATTCTAACAGGTGAGATGATCTCTTATACAATAATAAAAAAAATCTTAATAATAGTAATAATAATAATAAAACACCACTTTGACTCAAAGTTAAAACAAGTCTGTACACTAGCACAAAATTACATGACCAAATCAGGAAGTACAAAAGGAAAACATTACTATGGTTTATTTAAAGTGTGACGTCAAAAGAATATGTTCCCATATGGTCATGTTTTCACACTTTTTTGCCCTTAATAAATTATATCATACATTTGGAAGCTGATTGTTGTTCTTAATCAGGATACATTCTGATAAAAAAAAAAAAAAGATCTGAAGAACTTGGAGCAAAAAGGTAAAGACACTGAACTTCGAAAGAGATGCAAACAGATTTAAAAGAGAGAATGAGAATTAAGGTGTGTTGCTTTGTTGTTGTTGTTTTAAGCATGATCAAGACAGTGAAATTCTAAGAGATATCTCCCTTATTTCCCATCCATCCTTTTATCTTCAGCAGTAACCATATTTCTGTCCTCCATCTTCTGATCGATAAAGGCCTTTTACTGCTGAACCTCTACGAAATGTTCTTTTCAACCCGTTTATTTCCCCATGTAATTCTATTAGACACCAGCAGTGTCTGCTGCTTCATCTAGGATGGAATTTAACCACTTTAACTGTCTTGTATTATCTTCTTTGAAAGGTGCACTAATGCATTTTATAAGTAATACCACAAGCCAGCAGTACTTTCTAAAATCTTGTTGAAAAATTAATAATTATACATTTGGGCTTTGGACTTGGAGAAAAGATCAAAGAAAACACAGTTTGACTCATTTCAGTGGCATGGGGTGCCTTAAATTTTCTAAACCATAATGATTTTGCAATGGCTACACAAACAGAGCACCAAATGTAGCTCTTGTGTTGTAGCCACTTGGCAAACAACCACCAACACATCATTTTAAAATAGGGCAGAGCTGATATGAGTGTTAGTAGAAAAAAAAAAATCATCAAACAGCTCTCCTGCATGAATGCTCACAGAGTTAGGTAATGGTACAGATGAGTAATATATTTATTTTATCATGCTCTGCTCCTCAAAATGGGCCTCTACAATCTGGATGTTTACAAAAGAGTTATTTTTAATCTCATCACACATACATTCAAAGCACAGAGTCTCTGTTTTTTTTTTTTTTTTTTTGGTCTTGCACATTTTCACGTACGCTCAAGTAACTCCACCATTTGGGTCAGCTAGTGCAAGGCAGAGCTCATGTGAGTGTTATTTATTCTGAATGCTTTTGATTTAATTTGCTGAATAAAGAAGAAACACTGAGGACGGGTCAGTCAGTTGGTGTAAAGTGAAGACTGTAAAGACTGTTCTTGAAGGGCAGTAATAGAAAGTCAGGAAATCTGGAAAACACTCAAATACAAAAGTGCAAAAAGAAAAAAAAACAGGCAAGCACAGAGAAAATAGGTTATAAAAGGGTCTAAGTTTGACCCCAGAGTAGCATAATCAGTTTAACACAATCAGATTAATGGGGTGGAAATGAACAGCAGAGAATAGATCATATGCAAATTAGGTTATCCTCTTCTCTTCACTACAAAGATCTGTTGAGTCCAATCAAAAATGTTTTTTTATTGATATGAATGAAGGTTCTGTGGACATGCAAAAAAATAAAATTCTGGTTTAATAAATAGAGATGTGTTCTCAGTGTCCTGTTTTCATGTTGTCACAAGCCATGTAGGGGGACAGAGCAAACACGTGGAAGAAGTTTCAGTCAGACAAGGCCAATATCGAACTTCTAAACATACATCTAAGAAATTACTTTGATCCAATCATTGTGAATATCTGTTGCCCAACTGAGAATATTTGGCAATATTTCAAAATTGTCATTTACAGAGACTCTCTCAATCCACTAAGCTTGAGAAGGATGGGTAGAAATGTAGTCTGTAGATTTGCAAAGCAAGCTTGAGTTGCTTGTTCTACAATTTTAATGTATGCCTTCAATCCAAATAAAATACATGGATTTTTTTGTTTGTTTGTTTTAGGTTAGAAAATCTGAACAAATTCAAGAGGCATGAATCCTTTGGCATGAAACTGTTTTTAATTGGTAGTTTTCTTTTACCGGTCAGTGAATAAAATTTAATTTTTCTTTAATCACTTAGCTAATCGATTAAAAAAAAAAAAAAATCTCTTAAGAATTTTTACACCAAGATGTGATCATTTTTGTGTTTGTATACTTTTGTGTCTGTACATTTTAGAATATATTCGATAAGCCCAAACAAAAAAAAGCTTAATTCATCCACTGATACTATTGCTGACACTAATCAGGAGCACTTTATTCATTCAATATTTAGAGCCACCCTACATTTCACCTTATCAATTTAACACTGTGATCTTCTAACACTGGTTCTGCATGAAGCTCTAACCTTTCGCCAGATGGACTCTAGTGGTCCAGATAAAACTGTTTTTTTTTGTTTGTTTTATTTTTATTTTTTTTATTTTTTCTACCAGACAAAGAGAACCTTACGGAGATAACGGATTATTTGCAGTCTCGTCTGGTCGTGTCTATAACTGACCACACAGAACAATCCCTTATTGTCCTTAAGCAAGAACAAAAGCCCCTTTGTGATTCTTACCACTCCTAAAATAACATGTAAATTCCCACATATAGTATGACGCACGCTGCCACACAAATGTACCGATTTGTCATTTAATCTTCAAATGAACATTTCAGTATCGAGATTTTATTTTATTTTATTTTATTTTTAAAGGAATGCAGTTCAGTTTCTTTAATGGACACAACTCAGGCGTTTTCAGGGTTTTATCTTGGACCGTCTAATTCAGGTCTGTAAATGAGCTAACTGAACCCACTCTATGTTAATATGTAGAAATATGGAAAATTGTCTTTGGTTTACAAAAACAAGAGCTCCAAATCCAATCTGGAATACCATGAATCACTTACACAGGCAAACTCTCAACAGAATTGAAGTAAAATAGAAGAGAAAAAAAAAGAAACTAAAAATGTATAATAAAAGCTTGATGAGGTAACTGGAAATGACTAAAAGAATCACATTCAAAGTGAAGAGAGAGAGAAAAAAAAGATAATTTCAGGTTTGCAGTGATTGCCCTGTGAGCCTATACTGTGTGTGACGGATGCTTCAAGTGTGGGAGGTTTCTTTTCCTCTAAATATATCTTTGGATGTTTCTTTCCCACAAAGTTAACAAATGCTGTCATGCATCCTGAGAGGAGCACAGTCTCCCAGAGGTCAGCCCCACAGGGAACAGCTGTATCCACTCCAGATCCCAGCTGTCTCCTCCATTACTCTGTTGCGTATGTTTCTGTTGTTTCAGGGGGGCTTGTAATAAAATGGTG